TCTTCATGATACTGGGAACTAACTTTTTCAAGGAATTTGGTTTGCCAAATTTTATTTGCTAACCACTACCAAATCACTCTGCAAGTTTGTTACTAAAATTCTTCTGGCGAGCATTGCCTTTTCCAAAATAATTAATTTTCTACCGCGTGAACCACCTAAAACACCTTTCTTTTATAAGACTTTAGCTATACACTTATGGAATCTACATAATTTTTGGGGTTTGTATATACACAACAACGATCGGGTGTTCCAACAAGAGCGTCGGATTTAAATTTGCCGACATTTTGTTAATACAAGTTGTACGGTGATTTTTTTTTGACAGTTGTCAAGTATAGACCACGAGATTGAAGAATATGGAGAAGTATTCAAACAAACAATGTTTAATATTGTAAAAACACATTATAAAAAGTTCACTAATTACATATCTAAAATTTTCGGGCGCAATAATGCGCCAAATGAATCAACAGTGAGGCGTTTAATTACAAAATTTGAGACCGATTTGATGAATCAGAAGACCATTGTTCCTCGTCGTGCTGCTCGGTCACTCCAAAATATAGCCACAGTAAGGGAATCTGTGATCGAGAATTCACGAACTTCCATTCGGCATCATGGTCAAGAATTAAATATTTCCAGAAGCACTATGCAACGAATTTTGGTAAAAGATCTGCATTTGTACGCGCACAAGATTCAGTCGAGGCAAAAAATTAAGCCAAGGGACCATGTGCGCCGCGAATAAATCTCCAGCAAAACGGAACCTTCGTTATCCAATGTCCAATCCAGCCCAAGAATGATAGAATACAAGATTGCGCCGTTCAGAGAGGATTTTTGAGAATAACTTTTGTGTGACGTCACACTGGTGCAATTGCGAGAGAGAAATGCCAAAACGTGAGCAAGAATGGAAGAAGAAGAAAAAATGTTGCAAGGAAAACGTAAACAAGTTGCACCAGTGTGACGTCATGCAAACAACGATTCTGCCAAATTCGTTAAGAGAGGAATAGCGGTCCGAGATCGGCGCAACCTTTGTATTCTCTCAATCGTGAATCCAGCCCATTATCTAAGTGAAATTTTACTGGACTTCACTTTTTCTCTTGTTACTATATTTTTCATTTTTTTTTTTTGTCGAACCCTTCCCGAGTGTATTTCCAATATACTATGAACGTGGGAACCAACTAAGGTTGGTTATGAGTTCGTTCACAGTTCGATATGCATATTGAACGTCGAATTATACTTTCGAACATTCGCCACAATGTTTACTGGGATTTTAAAATGATTGCAAACGTCAGAAAAAATGCATGGCCGACGAATTGAGAGAATGATTTTACCTTGTAATACAGAAAGGTAACCGTTCTCTCAGTTCGTGTGCGATGATATTTTTTAAGTTTTTTAAGTTAACGTTAATAAAAAATCGAAATGGTTAAAAAATGTTGTTTAAGACTGAAAATGTCAATGCGGAAAGTTAAAACCATGATACAAAAAGTTCAATGTAAAATCGTTGTCAATTTAAAATTACATTGTTTGCAAACGTCAAAAATGCTAAAAATGTCTCTCAGCAGTTCTACCTTAATATATTTTTATCATGATATATATTATCCACATAAAATTTACATGCATGTCTGTATACATATAATAGAAAAAGATTCTTTTTGAAGGTGAAAATTCTTTCTAAACTGTTGTCAAAAAATGTGTGTATGAAGGGACGATATGTCATCTACGCCACTGATCTCCAGCTAGCTATTTGTTCCGGCCGAATGTGTGTCCTCTCTCAACTGGCGAAACGGCCTTAAATAAAAAATATTTATTGGGCGCAATTCAGTTGCTGACGATTGGTTTCCTAATTTTTGAGTCCTGAGCTCATTTATTGAGAACCGAAAAATGCCAGTTGAGGCAGTTACGGTCTCCAAGTAACCGTCCATCGAATTTCCTTCTACACTTAGGGCCAGTTTTTCAGTGCACGGCCGTAGTTTAAACTCAGTTTAAACGCCCGATATGGCTGGTTTCAACTAAGATTAGCCAATCAAATGTCAGCCAGCTGTTCAATTTAAACTCAGTTTACTTAATCTTTAAACTTAGAAACTGGCACTGAAAAACTGACCCTTAGAAGCTTCAAGCGGGTTTCATTAAATGGCATTCTTCATTGTTAGCTCTGTTGGATGTCGAAAACAACTACATATATATGGATTTAATTGTTTAACTCTCTTGAAAAGTCAAAATCACATTTCAAATGGTTTTTTGTTCATTTATTTATTTCGTTTTTTACGTTTATTCAACACTTTCAAATTATTATATAATATAAATCTTGTTATTTCAATAAAATTAAATATACATATTTTTAATGCTTAAACACACATACATATGTATACAAATGTGTGTGTATTCGCATACCACACTAATGTATGCTGTAAATAACTATATTGCCTGGACATTTAATACAAAAATGAAGTGAAACATTACTCAGTTTTGAATTAAAGCAGAGACACAAAGAAACACAAACGCATCTTTTAAAAGGCAAAGTATTTAAACACATATGTATGAATGCATACATACATATAAGTGTAAATATGTAAATACATATGTATGTAAACATCTGTTCATCACAAAAGGTATTAAAACTTTTTTTATTTAAACCATTCGATAAAAGGAAAAATGATCATGTTTATGCATGTATTCCACGAAAACATTAAAATATGTATGCTTACATAAAGTAAGAGTAATATTACTGTAAATTTTAGTTATGTATTACTTGCCGATTTTCGTTACTCATGCATGCGAGTCCTGATGAAGATGGCGACTGCCTAATCATTATGTTCACTTTGTTCTCAATTGTATCCTCTTTTTTTATTTATTGCCGTTTACTTTATGTTAGTTTGCTCAAAAGTTTATTGCGATTTCTTTCTTATTTAACTTCAATTTTACTTATTTAAATCTAGACACTCAACTTTTCCATTTTTTATATAATTATAGCACTTTTTTATTAATTTTGCTTATTTTTCGTTTTCTTTTATCCCATTTCAATAAATATTTTATTATCTACGGTATGTCTTTGTGATGTATGTATGTATTTACTACGCTAAAATTCAACAACAAACGAAATTGCAGTTTTTATTTTGCGTTGTGTTCCTTTGGTTTATTATTTCACTTTATCGGGAGTTACACTTACCGTATTCGTGCAAACAAAAACAAGAAAAATTCATAAATATAAAATGGCATGAGTTGTCTTGAAGTCCACACTTAGAGGTTTACCTTGAAAACACCTTACTTAATGCTAACCGTTAAATGTAACAATTTTTCCTTAAATTTTTCGTATGGTATGACCGGCTATTTATTTTAATCAATGAATTTTTATTTTATGTAGATTTCATAACTTTAAGGTACCTTATGTCAAATGTACAGTTTGATTTGATCAGTACTTTGCATTACTTAAACTCGTATGTAAATATTTATACATACATATTTCGTATGAACGCTTGAAAGTAAATACTATATATTTTGATAATTCTAAAACTGGGCATTTTAAAATAACCTAAAATAAAATTGGCGCTGGCAAGTAGATAAAAACTTCTTCGAAGGATGGACATAAAATGTGGACGGTAAAAAGTAGAAAACTACTATTGAATGGTAAAACGCAAAAAAAAAACTGTACAATAAAAAGTGGGCATTCGTGCGCTAGCGGGTAAATTAACCCATGTGCTTGTCCACTTTTCACAATTCAATTGTCGTTATATTCTTTTACCAGTCCATAATTAATATACTTTAAAGATTTAGTCCATACTTTCATGCCAATTTTATTAGTCAAGTTTTAAATTGTTTTTTTTTTTTTGTTTTGGAATGACCAAAAATATACATATGTCAAATTTTTAAATTAGCAATTATTTACGTTTTCAAACACCCAAATATTTTTATTTAAAAGTTTGAAGTTATGAAATAATTATGTCCAATTTTTAAATTACCAAAAATTAATCTTCAGTTTTTACTTTTACGCGTTCGTGATTTGTATGTATATATGTAAATATAACTAAGTATGTACATATTTATGTATGCATGCTTTTGAATGAGTGTCTGCTGCAGAAGATTGCATTACAAAAGTCGATTCTAATTTTAATGAAATATTGAAAGATTAGCACATCAGATAATTAAAAACAAATAAATAACATAAGGCCCTAAGGAATTCTGCATCGATGTGAAAAAGGTATATAGTTTGCAATGCCTACAATTAACTTTTAGTTATGTATGTAGGCCTTTACAGCATTCAACTAGGTAGAACATTTTTTATTTCGTTTAAGTTTAGTAATTTTCACTCACTTTATTTATTTTTAGCAATTTAGAATTTCACTAGTAATCTACATTGAAGCGAATTTTCTTTGCCGCTTAGTTATGCTTTTTTACGTTATATTGTATTGTATTATTTGATAATTATTTACAGCTTTACTTACTTAGGAGTAAATATACATACATACATTCCAATTTGTCTAAAATTTTTCGTTCGATTACAAAAAAGGGCTGGTTTACCTCAAGTAGAAAATTTAAACCAAGCATATTCCAAAAATATACAATACGAAAACAATTCTAAATTCATTATCATAACATACCTATAGTAAGTATAGTTGAGTTTAGTGCGGATTTGTTGAGTCTGCATTCGATTTTTTTCTCAAATATCCTTCTCACCGACTACACGCTCACGCTCAGTAATAGACAAGCCCTTGGAATCTGTGAAGAGGCTTTCAACTGAGGTACACTCACCTGATATCCGGTTCGAATTTTTGTCTATTGAACTGCACACTGCATATTTTGTTAACAATACTGCTGAATTTAGGCTGTTTCAATTTGAAGCGAAGCTCGCCGTTTGTCGAAACGTGATGACCCCTTTTAAAAATTACTCTCCGATATTCAACTTTATGGCGAGTGCCCTTATGTTTTACGAATGCATGTTGTTGTTGTTGTTGTTGTAGGAGCGCATTCCTGCTGAGCTGAACATCGTTGCAGGAGCAGACGCAATTCTTGTTGGTATATGTGCCGCACTTTCGTCGAATCGCTTGTCGCTTGCCAAAAAGCTCGGTTGCCAGCAACACGAGTACGCTCAAAGCACGCGCAACTAAATGCCTCATATTTTTGCTTGTTTGTTGACAGGTGCTACCAATAGCTGCATATACCACCTGACATACGCTAAGGTGCACAAGTACATTGACAGGTACACTAGGAGATAATGGCCTTGGGACATTCGATGATGCACTAGTCCCGCGCGCTGCATTGCTGCTGGGAACTCCCCTGGAAACCGAATGAGAAACACCTGTTTAATTTACATCTTTTTTGCTGTCCTTTAACACCATCGTCAATTATCAACAATGCTATATACAACAAACTGAGATATACATACAAACATACATATAAAAGAGTTGGTAATTACTAAACCATAGCGTGAAAGCTTACTTCGAAGGGGTTTTGGCATCATGCAAATTTCCACCCTATCCACTATGCTAACAACAGCTAAAATCAAGTTTGCTCCATAACTTCTTATTTATTTATACATATATGCATACGTATGTCGTTTGTCTAATTTTCAAACCCGAATAAATTAAATTTCAGTTACAGTAAAATTTTAAATTTCGATTTAGTTCATCAGCTTAAAAAGAACCATATTTATCAAAATATCTTTTCAACGACATATTGTACTTTAAAAACGGACCATAAATAAAAAAAAAATTACAAAAATATGAAATCAGCCTCATTGCGTAAGTCGTAAATTAGACGAAATAAGTATACGACGAAAATTGTCGAAAACTATCCAGTGCCGCCAAGTTTTTCCGTTTTAGCCACTAGTCGAGTCGCAATGACATGCAATTTTCGATACGACTCGACTCTCGATACGACTTTCACTCGACACGACACTCGCAATGAGGCTGAATATCAGCTGTTTTAGGGAACGTACACACTAGGAATGTTAGTCCCGAGATCCCGGCTTTTTTAAGGTCCCGAAAATCCCGGCATTTTAATTTGTAATTTGCACTGATGGCAATAAAAGAAACTCCTTTTCTTGACCATTATTGGTCAATATTTCTTTATTTATTTAATAATTAATATTTTTTATAAATGTCTAGCTCATTATACATATAACAACGTGCTATAGTAAATTTTAAACACAAATATCAATATATACGCGAAACCATGGGCCAAATATAGTAAAATTGCGTTTTTAGTTTTTGACCTTGACGTCAGTAATTCAAAAATTATTTAAAAATTCAGAGAAATGTGTTTAGAGAAGAAGTATGGGTGGCAAGGTAAAGAAGAAATCCTGTAAAATTTAAGCGAATTCAAGTTTTTGGTGCAGCAGGACTGGTAAGTATTGAACTTTCCTTTTAAAATTTTATTTTTGAAATGCCACAATAATTTCTTTTGAAAAAAATATATGGTTAGGACTTATATAAACTCGATAACATCCTCGAATTTCGTCCTTCTAACTTTATCAGCTTAAAAAATTACCTATTCGCCCTTGTGAATCCAAAAGATTTTAATTTTTTTAAATTCTAAAGAAATTTCCTCTTGAATTTGGTACCCATATTTTTATTCTACATTGCATTGAATATTTTAAATAATTTTCAGAATCAATCATATCTTTGAAATTACAAAGCCCTTTAAAATAAAGCAATTTTTTCGATTTAAGTTGTTGAAAAGTAATGAATATCTAAATCTCGGGATCCCGGGATTGTTATAATGACACCCCAAAGATCTCGGGATCGGAAAAAGCTGAAAAATTAACATCCCTAGTGCACACAGAAAACCGAGCGGTGCCGAGCAAAGCGAAGCGCAGGTGTTCACACTGAATGATTGGCTGCAAAGATACCAAAAAACTTAGCTTCCGTAAAAAGCGGCTAATATATTTGCTAGATTTTTGGCGGAAACATTTTTAATTAATTATTTTGATTTAAGTTTTACTTGGCAGCAGCATCATGAAAAACTGCGATACATGTACGCAGTGAGAGCTCGTTTCGGCGCTCCCTTACCTTACGAAGCACGAAGAAAATGGCTAGAAAAGGAAGCCACTTTGCAAAATAGTAACAAATTTAGTGCTCTTTTTTTTTTGTATTAAAGTTTGTAAAAAATATAAATTTTTGAAAATTTTTTATGAAAGAGTTATATGAATATAAGCTAAGTGATATATTTTGCGGAACATTTTTAAAATAAATATTTACTTAGTTTGATCACAAGCTTTTTTACATTATTTTCAGTTCGATGTCATAAAGGTTATTGATATAAGTTATATACTGGATTATATATGTGTATGTATGCAACCTTTCTGAAAATGCGAATATCATTTTTCATACAATGTCTTGAAAAGGGATCTTAAGATGGCGATTAGAGTGAGATGAACGCGAACATATAATGCCTTTCTGTATTGCATCATTATCTAAAAGCTGATTTGCTTTCAGTTCCCATATTCTTCTGTAAATGCTTTCTGAATGAACACTTTCATATATGTAGATGCAGCAATTTGAAAGATTCGCTCCGCCAAGAACGCTTTATTTCGGCTCGCTCCCGCTTCCTGTGTATACGTACCCTTAGTCAAAGGTGTTGGAACAATTGCAAACTTCTTTCTTGTATGAGCACCGACCCTATCTAATACTCATTCACCTACAGCAACAACTGTACATTTGTTTAAGATTTTCATTGCCAAACTCGCACCTACCCACGCACATATGTACATTGTATTGTTAGTGTTTTATACTTACCATTTAATACATGAACTGTTACACTCTTAGGTTTCGCATTTGATGGATTGCACTGGTAGTGTCCGGAATCCGAGGGCCGCGCCGTTTTTATGAGAAGAAACGAAGTCGTAGTCTCTCCTTTATTGGTTACAACCGAAACGCCACCCCGTGGAGAGTCGTAGTTAATTATCTAAAACCGTTAAACAAGAAATACTCGATTACTTGACTTGTATTGTCATTGATTAATGAAGGGAAATCGGGTCTAAAAAATCTTGAAAACCTTGAAAGTTTGACACACAACAATTAGTAGCAAAGAGTAACTATGGATTGAATATTAAAACTCACAGCGTTGTTGTGATTCCAAAATATATAAGCAGGAGGTTCCGGTGAATTCAAAATGACGCAGGTCAAGTTTATTGTTGAACCACTCTCAATGTACAAATCCGGCGCACCGATTATCTCCGTTGACGGTTCTAAAAATGATAGTAGACAAAAGAAATCCAACTATACAAATACATACATAAATACTATTCATATGGATAGTTGAAGTCTTATGCATTTACATAAATAAGAACCATACAGGTTATTTAACCTAAAGTTCCACACACCACGTATGAATGTATATTAGGGTGGTCCAAAAACAGTAAAGTCGGAATTCGTATGCTCTGACCCCCTCAAAGTTGTCCATGTATTTTTATATAGGGAAAAAACAACAACAAGAAATGGTATAGAATTCCTGAAAATAAATATTTTTCGATCGGAAAACTCTTGTTCTCTTCAGGAGACTTTCAGTAATAACCCCGCAAAAATCGCGACTACTCCATGCATGCTTGTATAGAGTACTCCCTAAGGACCAAGGAGTACTCCAAAATTAACCACAATTCATATAAAAAATATGGTCCAATTAACATTGCGATGTCCTAGGGCAGGACCATATCCTCCATCCCTGCATTACATCAGAGTAGCACAAAATTACTCCAACATATTAACAATGGCATTGTTGTTATATTTTTTCGTTTGTACACGCTTTTGTTCTTCACTTCTCAAATGCTTTTTCGAAATTAATAAAAACCAAGACAAAAATTAAAAATTACATGTCCTCTGACGGCATTNAGTCCCACGATTTTTGCAGGGAATATCCAATTGCTTATTTAACCCTTTTTTAATACTAACGATTTTGGTTAAATAAACAATTGGGTATTCTATTGGGAATCTCTCGCACATAAACAGAGTTTTCCGATAGAAAAATATTGATTTTTAAGAATTCTATACCATTTCTACGAACAGTTGTTTTTTCCCCATATAAAATACATGAAAAACTTTGGGCGCTTAAAGCGACCTCTAAATATTTTTTGATTTCAAAATAAAAATAGGGGTATATTTTTTCGGTATAGAACAATCCTAGGGGCTGAGAGCATACCAATTCCGATTTTACTTTTTCACGTGCATTTTTGGACCACCCTAATGTATACACTTACCAACAACATTTAGGTGAATGTAATGACTCATGTGCGGAGTGGTCGATACTTGACACTCGTATATGCCAGAATCTCGGTGTTGGGGGTATTTTATTTGCAATATCCAGTCTTCGGTTTGTGGTTGATGTATTGCACGGAAGCGCTGATCAGATGTATATGTATACCGTCCCACAGTTAGCAAATGGATGTCTCTATGCCGCACCCAAGAGACTTGCAAAAGCATCTGGAATATTGAATTATCACAAGACATTGGTCGTTTTGCTTCGAAAAAATATGGCTAAGGATCTTAGGATTATTAAAAGTCATTTATTATTTTTTTCAACTCAGTTAAACGATAAGCGACCTGAAAACTGTGCATGGTAGGCCCTGGAGGAGTACATTCTGCTAACTAAAAATTATTCGTTTTAGCTACATACAAAAACACTCATTTTAAATGGCTTCAGTTTCCGAACAACATCAACAAACAAAACCAACAAGTTTTTCCTAATAGCGGTCGCCTCTCGGCAGGCTATGTCCTACCTAATTTATTAATTGATTAAAATATTGATGTTGCATACTTCTATTTTGGCCAATTTATTTTTCAAAGATTTTATTTTAGAAAATATGTTCCGGATTTGAGCTACACAAGTCGTTGTATAAATTTGAAAAATTGGTATTCCCACTGTAATTTCTAATTTTTCAAGCTCATTCCGCAGACTGAGGGTATTGTCTCAGGGAACCAGGATTTATTTTCTAGAATAAGGTTTAATATCTTTAGCACCTATACAATTTTCATATCAAACATTTTGTGTTTTTCGACTCGCCCTAATGTACGTATGTATGTATGTAGGTATGTTTGTTAGGGGCAAATCTTGCAATACATTTTTTACCAACTTCCCATTGACCTAGAGTCTTGAAACTTCACAGGTGGCTCAGAAACCAATGACAATGAAATTCGAAAGATGAATCAATCCGATAGGTGGCGCAGCAATCGAGAAATATTGGAAAACCCGTATGTATAGACCGATTTGGTTAATATTTAGAACGTATGTATGTATGTTAATCACATGAAAAGGAGCTACACAAAAAAATTGCCGATAGCTGGCGCAAGAGTTGAGATATTTGGTAAGCCAGTATTTATACTCCGATTTCGTTGGTATTTAGAAAGTTTGTTTTAAACATATTTTTTTTGCTATTAACTTATTCCTAACAAACGAATCGTGGTACAAAGCTCATTAACATAACTGTTTTTAATTTGTAAGATATCGTCCTTCTCCTTCTTTACTTCTGGCAAGTTCAAAAGAAATCAGTGGAGCCAAATAAATTTACATTTATTCAAAAAAAAGGAAGTAAATAACGAAATATTTGAAGATGTAAGTAATAATTCCACTGTTTTACAGCAAAAATGTTCTATGGATGCCACTATCCAATTTCTATGTGATTCCGAAATCCGAAATACTTTTTTTCTATGAATAACTTTTCGAGATATTTGCAATTTACCGTTGGTCATGTTAAAAAAGTGGGGGTTTCACTTAATCACGTATATCTTACGAACTAACAGAATAATCGTAATACGGGGTACGTCAAATAAAAGCTAATAAAATTCTCTCTAAACCGTATGTACATCACTTCCCGATACCTCTGATAGTTTCTGAGAAATTATCTAATCATTTCTGACACCTCTTGCTTTCGATGGAAACACTCTACTTACTCAGGTGTACGTGGCGTATGAGTAACACACTGCTCATATTTCACACAAAAAAATCCTTGCGCATTTTCATTTGACCAATCTTTGACTTTGTTATTTATCCATCGATTTTCTTCATTGGTAGCTTAATTTTTTTCTAAGGGCATACAGAAACGGTTATTTTTTAAATGTTTTCCTAGGCAAAGTATGAATTCTTTTCATTTAGAATTTCATTGGTTTTGATTTGCCGAATTTCGTATTACAATTAATCAATTGTTTCGTAAGATATACACGATTAAGTGGAACCACTCAAATATTTCGAAAACGTATCCATAAAAACCAGTAAAAAAGGAGCGAAATAAATACAGTGGGACAGATAACATAGTAGACTTTTAAAAACACAATAATTTTTGGGCTGTAAAATCGATTTACGTGGTTTTTTTAACGTTATTTCCCAACGTTTGTTTTTTACGTTGCTTGATAACAGTTATATTCCAACGTTTATTTTTTTATGTTGTCTGATAAACGCTGCAAGATATGAATATTGATGAAATTGCAGAAAGAGAAGAAGATGAAGATAAAAGTGGAAGAGTGCAACATAAAAAATAAACGTCGGGAAATAACTCTTATTGGCTACGGAAAACATATTTCTGCAGCATAACAGTTATCAGGAAGCGTAAAAAGTAAAAGTATTTACCAATGTTTTACTGCTTATCTGAGCGCTTAAAATGGATTTTTTTCGGGCTTATTTTCTTTGTCCCTGGTTACAACTCTTATCGGCGAAATAAAAAATATGTTTCATCCAATAACTGTTACTAAGCAACATTTTCGTGATAAAACCTATAACTTGTGTGTACTTGATTAGACAATGAAAAGGAGAGCGGTTAATAAGGGAACTTCGTAAGGGAGGAACTGCCAAATTGAAGCCATTGGTCCGTCACACACAAAAACAATTGTGCTGGGATCAAACTCTCGCTTGTTTAGGAGGGCGATGAAGAGTATTGGAATTCGCACTTTCTAAATTATTCACGATCAATAAAGCTCGGTTAGCACATGTGTGTATGTATGTAAAAGGCACTGTTCACGTATATATTTCTCTAAACAAACCATTATTTGTAGTGGGAATTGATAACCAAAAATATTGCACATTTCTTCATGCGGAAAGCCAGTCGAGTCCAAAAGCTAATCAGTAATGCTGTAAGTTGTATGTTTAAAAGTGGTAAAAGCGATTGACTTTAGAGACTTTTAAGTATTTTTGTAACCGATTTGTATACTGGCTATCTATGTAAGTGAAATCAATAAAGAGCAAAACTACTGCTATCAACGATATTACAACCTTATCTAATAGCAGTGCACTGAAATCTGAGATTTAGCGGAATCTTTTGAAATACGGGTAGATTTCCTTTATATTTTCATGATTTAGATTTCTTGGATTTTAACCAAATTTTAACGAAATCCTTACTTATGTAAAAGGAACAAATCTTTAGATACTAAAAAGTTCAACCCTGCTACACTTGAAATTTCAAATTTCTCTACATAAACGAAATCCAAAGATAGCGCGGAGGAAACACTTACAAAAGATTTTTAAGATTTCAAGGTCGAAATCTCAGATTTCAGTGCAGTGGGAATGTAATATAAGGATTCTTTGACCACTTATGGGCAATCATTTCCCTTCAAAGGTACCTTGTAAGAGTTTAAAAAATATAAATAATCCAAAAACCGTGTAATTTCAACAGAGGGCTCCCCGCGTACCATAGTTTGAGAAGCACTAGGTTAGACTAAGAATTTCACAATTGTGGCTCGTCAATTGGAACTTTTGGGTCCTTCATATATTTATGCCCGCTATCTGCAATGGTTACTTTCAAAAATGCGCTGTTCATACTTACGACACTTTACTGATCTACAATAGACTCAGCTTAGTAAACCCAACAGGGTTAAAATTCAAATTGGCGCATATATGCCCTTGATATTCGATCAAAAAAAAAACATGCACAATATCAATTGTACAAAGAAAACTGTTGAGTCCGAAGCACCAAGAGTATATAATCAAGGGTAGGTGTTGACATTCAACACTTGTCACTCACCATCTGCAGCCGTAAATTTGCCTAGACGCCCCACGAAATTTTGGAATATTTTCAAAAATCGATTACTCTGGTTATACTACATACTTCGCGAATAAAAGCGACGATACGCTCTACTCCTCCTTAAAATCAATTCACAGAAACTTTTAAAATTTTTCATCCGTGCGTGCAGCAGCATGTCGTCGATGCGGCAATAAGAGAGAAGGCAATTGGCGACTTCGATTATAGCAGACAGCTAAGGGAAGCAATTCTGAAGCGAAAACTTTTGTAAACGAATAATTATCACCTGTCGCCAATGTGCGTGTAGCCGTAGATGTCAACGTAGTGCAACGCATGTAGGTACATTTTTCTTCAGCACAATTACACGCAGGGGAAGGCAGAATCACTGAGCGACTAAGTGTCGATGTGGCGTTAGAGGTGGCCTTGCGACATGAATTGATTTCATTTCTCGTCAAGCTGGCGTGCGACATGTTTCGGCATTGACTACATAGCAGCTTCAATGAAAACCCTGAAAGTTTTCGATCGTAATGTGTTTACACAATCGTAAAATTTTAATATGGATATGCAATGCATCAACTGGCAAAGTGTTCACTTTCTTATTAATACTAATAACAGTGTTTGTCAATTTATAGATCTAAATGTTCATTTCGAATTCGCACTATTATATAGTATACAACTTAAAAGCCACAAAAAAGTGTATTGTTCTAAACTCGTTTTACATATGTACATATTTTTAGACATTGTTATGTATGTAGTTATTTGCTCAATACCTTCACCGGACATATCTGTGGACATTTGAAAAAATAACTTAAGTCTATCCTTCAGAGATGAGCAAAGCATAGCATATGTCGACAAATAGACATAGACAAATGTTTTCTGTAGAAGACCTGCTGCCGTTTTTGTGAAGTGGTAACTATTATGAAAGATTCCTTGTTAAAGGGGCTCGCAGATGTTCTCACTTTGCAACACAACGCAACTAGGTGTACCTTTTGTTCCTTATGACTTTGAATTGATGGGGTCATACGGACACGAGATTTGGATTCAGCGATGGTAAAAACATAAGGGGGTTTATGGACCTGTGTTATTTATGCTTTCAATTTTGTTGACTGTTCAGTAACTGCACCTCGCGGATATGTTTCATCTGAGCGTCCCTGACTTATAGATTTCAGAGGAGGAACTACAAATCGTATACGTAATACGCTGCAGGTAAGTTTCCTATCTGCAGAGCTGGGTCGTAATGATTCCTTTAGGAATTAAATTACTCCCAATTACAGATTACAAGGAATTGTAATTAGGAATCGATTACTTTTTCAAATCCCTGAAGTAATTTCAAATGTAATTGGTTTTTTCTTTAATTCCATTACAAGGAATTTCATATTGTAATTGAAATCAATTACGTGCTAGTAATGTAATTTTTTTTCCAATACCTTTGAAAGGAATTGAAAATGTAATTGATTTTTTTTTTCAATTCCATTA